TGAAATAAAGAGATACATACCAAAAGAATGTAAAACTGTTCGAACTATTGACTTACTTCTTGTTGAAGACCACTACATGCTAAATGAAAGATTACCAATGACAACATATTTCATTCGCAACTATATAGAAATTCTCAAAGCTTGTGGTGGAATGAACATTGAGAAACAGATGAAGATTTATACAAAGAGAGAAGATAAATATGTAGTTCGTTATGATAGAACAACACCGTTATGGGATGTTATGAAAACATTGTGGGAGTGCAAATATTTCGAACCTATTTCTTATGGAGAACTTTTCACATATACTACTGACTTATATAAACAGAACCTTGCACCATTTAAAGACTTGTCATATGCTCCAAAGTATTGTGTACAACTGAAGAAGAAAGCCGAGTCAAAAGAAGTAAATAAAAATAAGTGCAAGTTCATTCCTGAGCACGTTTTCTTTGCTGACTTTGAGTGTAGTACGGATGGCTTTCATAAAGCTTTTAACATCTGTTATGACAGTGAAGATGGTTCAGTTAGTGAAAGTATTTGGGGTCAAAACTGTGCAACAGAATTTTTGGAAAGACTTCCTGACAAGAGTTTAATATATTTCCATAACCTCAGTTATGACATAAACTTCATCTTAAGACACATGACAGAAGTGAAAGGAACTCCCATCATTAAAGGTTCACGAACAATGCAAATAACTGGTTTATATAAAGGAAGGGCAATTATTATAAAAGACTCTTACAGTGTTATAAATAAGAAGCTTAAACTATTTCCTGCTATGTTTAACTTACAAACAGGACCGAAAGAAGTATTTCCATATAACTACTACAGCAGTGTTTTGTTAGCAAATGACAACAGAACCGGTGTCATTTCTGAAGCATGTAAGTTTATCCATGATGCAGATACATTTATGAAGAACATAGATTCCATCAAAGGTTGCAGAATAGATGAAAACCACTTCGACTTAGAAAAATATAGCACGTTTTACTGCAAACAAGATGTAAGAATTTTAAGAGAAGGTTTTGTAAAGTTCCGCAATGACTTATTGAAAGAGTTTGATTTAAACGTTTATGACTACGTTAGTATTTGTTCTATTGCTAACAAATTGTTTGAGAACAGAGTATACTTCCCGAATGGAAATCTTTATGACCTCTCAAATAAACCAAGAGAATTTATTTCGAGATGCATTCAAGGTGGAAGATGTATGTTGTCAGATAACATGAAACAAAAGAGCAAAAAGAAACTCATTGCTGACTTCGACACTGTTTCATTATATCCTTCAGCTATAGCAAGACTTTATACTTTAGAAGGTATTCCAAAAGTATTGAAGGAAGAAATGTTAAGCACAGAGTATCTCATGAGACATTTATTCGATGACGACCAAAAGGAACCCATTGGTGAAAAGTTTATGTCTGGCTTCTTTGTTCTCATTAAGATAACAGAGATTGGTATACCCAGACACTTTCATTTAATAGTTTGCGACCCTGAACTAAATCCAGAACTTAACGTTCCAAGAAGTTCAAACACTTGCTGTCTCATGTATGTTGACCATATAACATTACAAGACCTCATAAAATATCAAGGTGTCAAATGTGAAGTGTTGCAAGGATACTATTACGATGGAAACAGAGATATGAGAATAAGAGATGAAGTAAAGAAGTTGTTTGAGTTAAGGTTAAAGTATAAGAAAGAAGAAAACCCCTTACAAGAAATTATAAAACTCATTCTGAACAGCATTTATGGCAAAACTATTCTATCTCCTATTGAGTCAAAAATAACCATAGTAGATGACAAAGATGCTATAAGATATGCTATAAGAAATTACAACCATATAGTGAAGTTCGAAGGTTTGGATGGTTCAGATAAAACTATTTTCAAGCTAACGAAAAGCATTTGCAGACACTTTAACTTCTGTCCACTTGGTGTTAATATTCTGTCTATGTCAAAACGTATTATGAATGAAGTATTCTGTACTGCAGAGGACATGGGACTTCAAATCTTTTACCAGGATACCGACAGTATGCACTTATATAATGAAGACATCCCAAAGCTTGCAGCAGAGTTTAAGATGAGATATGGTCGCGAACTTATAGGAAAGAACCTTGGTCAATTTCATAGCGACTTTGCAGAAATAACACCTGGAAAACAAAGTTTAGCTTATAAAAGTATTTTCTGTGGAAAGAAGACCTACATAGACTTACTCACTAACGATTTAAATGAAGTTGCATTTCACTGCAGAATGAAAGGCGTGAAGCAAGATGTTATTGCTTTAACCGCTAATGAAATGTTTCCTGAAGCTATACAATGCTATTACAATGAAGATAAGAACATTCACATACCTGTTGGAACATATGACAAAGACTCTGAGTTCAGTTTAATGAAACTTTACAAAGCACTTCATGATGGTCAAGAGATTGCATTCGACTTATGTAAGTCATGTCAACCTTGCTTTGCTGAAAAGTTCAACTTTTCAATAACGACTAAAACAAGCTTTATTCGTAAGTTGAAGTTCTGAGGTCATTTATTTTTGTCAGCAATGAGGTCATTCGTGATAAAAATAAAGCTAGCGTAGATTTTACAATACTGCGATGGTAGAGTTTAAGAGTTGTGCTTCAATGTAGAGACAGTCCTTCCCATCTGGAGGCAAGAACACTGGACATTTATGGTCATGAGTGGAGTACATGTCTATCCAAAACTCACGATTGAAGCCAGTTAATTTATAGTATTTAGGGTTAGGAAGTGGTGAAGTTCTTGTATGACCAATGAACTCATTTTCAACGCCTTTGGCTATATTAGAGTAAAGTATTGCTTGCTTTCTATCCCAAATGCCAGGTGTTACAATCTTTGAAAATTCATTTTCCTCGGAAGCATTGGCATCATAATTGAAAACATTCTTAAAATCATCACTTGGTTCGGAGATTTTGAAATCTTATACGTAATGGATTTTCTTTCTTTTTAGCGACTTCATTGAATGGTGAGAATACAATGAATTGACAGTCATGAGTTCCATCTTCATTTTCATTAAATTCATAATGAAAGTCTATAAGTTGTGGCTGACTACCTTCTTCTTTCAGTTGTGCAAGAAACTCACGTAAAGGCTGTAAAGTTTGTACTTCAATGTTTGAACTTTTTCTCGAACATCTCATTTAAATGAAATCATACATTGTTTGCAATGTTGTATCGTCTTTAAAGTATTTGTTATATGTGAATGTTTTGGGCGCTTAAAGACTGTTTCGTCATTTTCTATCTCGACTTGAACTATAAAGTCAACCTTTCTGAAGCACGTGTTATATACATAGATGTTATGCCAATGTACTTCTCTTCATTTATGTTCACAATCCAGTCTGTTGGAAACTTAAACGTTACTCTGTTCCCCTTTATTTTGACGTCAGGGTTTTCACTACTGAACGCAACAGATAAAGGTTTTGTCTATACATTTAATTCGGATAAAAATAAACCATTTACTCTTTCTTCACTTCAGCTTCTTTAGCTTTTTGCTTCTTCTCTAGCTTTTTTCGCCAGCAAACGTGGGTTCTTTGTCTTCCAGCAGCTAATGCAGCTAGTTTTTCACTAAGTTTTCTCTTTGGTCTCTCTGGCTTTTGTTCTTGTTTTTGTTCCTTCAGTTCGGATAAAATTTGCTCGCGAATTTCTTTCTTCAATGCTTCAAACATCTATGACCCCTGGGTCTTGTCCGTAGGACTTGTCTGAGTCATTTGACTGCAGATAAAAAACAAAATTAAAACTTTAACCGATGTAAAATGAGCTTGTCAAAATCAGAGCGAGAGTCTATTATATTAAATGACGCAAGAGGAATACAACATCCTTTCTATTACGTAAGTCAGAGTAAAGATGGTAAAATATACGTAAGAAAAGAAAGGTTCCATTAGCAAATGCAGAAAGCGACAACATTAAGGTGCATGGCAAGGGTGAAGTCCACGAAGCCCATATAAAACCTTCTTGTTCAAACTGAAAAGTCAATAGAACCAGAAGAAAAGAAGCCAGATGTACTTTCAATAACGAACCAAGAGCTTATTGCAAAGTTTGTGAATTTCATTGAAAACAAACCGAGTCAAAGAACCCTGACCCGCCAGTGAAAGAAGTTGAGACAAAAGAGAATGTACAGTTCATTGAAAATGTCAAGAAACAACTTCCACCACGAATGCCAAGAAGAAGAGTGAGAATAATGAAGTAAATAGATATTTTTATCCGAAGTAAATACATGCAGAACGAACAGTTAAACGAATTTACTCCAGCAGAGCATATTCATCAGATTCGCTCATATTTTGATATCATAGACAATGCAGTTCAAATTGGTGACACTAATAGAAAATATTCTGACGCAAAGATTCCATCACAACCTGGAACTGCTAAAGATAACACATGGGTAACATTCAATCTCTCACCTCCTGGTGAAAATATGTTGGACCTTTACAATACATTCATTACGTATAAAATGGAAGGTCAATTTATTGCAGATAAAGAAATTAGTTCAGGTTCCAATAAAACAAACCCACCAGGATTTTGGATTGGTTTCGATGACGCTTTCTATGCAGTTGCTGGATATCAAATCCTTGCAAATGGTCGTATCGTATATTCTCAAGACAACGCACGAGAAGAAGCATATATAACTTCAAACTCACAAACTACGAACAAATAAAGAAAGTAGATGTTTTCTCAAAGACTCGACATGAAGATGTATGGAGTCATTCGGAACATGCAGAACAGGACAAATTGTTAGTGGTCCAATTACAGCAGGAAAATCATTTGATTTTAAGCTTCGTTTAAGAATTCCTGTTGAAAGATTCCTTCCATTAGAAGCTATAAGATTTATTCCTGCATTTGCTGGTAACATTCAGCTTAAAGTAAAGTTCAGTAGCGACGCCTTACAATGCACATCTATATCTGTAAATGATATCATTGCTTTCAATCCAACTCTTAAAGTTGCATTTGCTTCAGATTCAAATCCACCGACAAATAAATTTGTTCCATGGAATGAACCATTCACTATGATAACGAAGGCAGTAGAAGCTAGTGGAACAGTTACTATTACAACTGTAAACCAGCAACTATTTCGAACAAAGATGGATTTTAATGAATGTTTCATTCATCCAAAGTCATTCTCTTTAGACCCTAACATTTATACAGAACTTGTAGAACATTATACAAACGAGGCTTTATGTTTTCCTGTTAAAGTTATGGATTGGATTCCTATGGACGGTTCATTCTCAAAGAATACAGATAGTTCAAGTGCAACATTTACAGCAGCTTATACGCCTATTAATGTTAAAAGTATTTGGGCACTATTTAGAAAGAAAGACAACTATTATGTTAATTTTGAGAACCCTAAGTTTAAATATCTTCAGCTTTCCATGGGAGCTTATGGAAATATGCCTGCAGAACCTGAAAAATCATATGGACCTGTATTTTATGAAATGGTTGCGAACGCCTGCAATACAAACAATGATATGATAGGATTTAATGAAGATGTTATGAGGTCATTGGTGGATGATGGTGTAGTGTGGAACATAAATGGGATAGCTATGACAACACACATTTCTTATGTTTTTCCAACAGAAGTGGACTTTTGCTTCCAACAAGGTCAAACATCTACTGCTCCAATAACATACAAATTGTCTGTTAAAGGACCTATTGAACTAGCAACTGAAAACGTACCAAAGCCACTTATTGGATTTATGAGGGATTGTTGCTTTGCCATTCAGGTGCGTGCTAATGGCATCCCCATAATAAGATTAGATGACTATAACTTAGCCACGGACGACAGTGAGGAATAAAGGATGAACATTTATTTTTAAAGCTTATAAATGAGTTCTTCATCAAGCTCTCGCGAACCTTCACCATCTATGAAACAAACTTTACCAAACGATTATGGAGCACCTATTGAATATTTCTTACGAGCTGCACAATGGCAAAGAGCAGTCTCACCAAGGTTAGGTGTTCCACCAGCTCCTGTCAAAAATAGCATTTGGTCAAGTCCTTATATAAAATATGGTCTCCCACTAGGTTTGCTAGCTACAGCAGGAGCAGTAATGATGTTGAAAAGAAATAAAGCAAATGTTATAAATAATACTGAAATAGCTGAAGTTAAACAAACTCCAACACCTTCGCCAAAACCAACGCCTTCACAAGCAAAACCTTCAATAACTCCTGAACCTATGGAAGTACAAACTCCTGTTCAAAAGTCAACTCCTAAACCGACTCCAACATTTAAACCAGAACCTACTCCTCAAATAAATCGTAAAACTCCTGCGTTTCCTTACTGAAAAAATAACGTTATTTTTATTTAATATTAAAATTTTTATTTGATTGAAATGACGACTAAAGTCACTGAAGCAATGAAACAAAAGTTTTTGGTAGAATACATTAAATCAGGAACTATTCCAGAAGGTTTTTACATTCATACTATGAAGGATGGTAGAGTTCAGTTTAGAAAGATAAAGCAACCATTAGATAAAGAAGGAATTTTGAGAAAGATTAAACTTCATGAGGACAACATTGCTAAACTTAGGAAGAAGTTAGAAGAGTTGGAGAAAGGAAGAGAGTTATAAAGTAATGAATTCAACAGGGTGAGAAAAGACCCAAAGGGTCTCGCCGCTTAGCGGCTGAGGTTAGAAAACGTGTTAGATCTAACATTCTAACATAAACATTATTTTTGTGCTATGTTTTCATACGTGTGAGGGTGGTGATATCATTAATTTTAAGTTTATTTTTAAGTTTATTTTTATTTTATTTGGATGTAATGACAGAACAAAAGCAACTCATACAAATCAAAACATATAACAAACATACATTTAAACATTTATTCTTCCTTCCTGAGCATAACATGTTCTTTCAAATACATCCGAGACCAGTTGACTTTTCATTGACTGTTTATAAAGATAGAAATAGTTATATCATTAAACCATACGATGACGAAGGTAAGTTATGTAAATTGTACGTTAAGAAGTTAGAGAAAGTTTATGGCTTCAAGTATGACTACAATAGGGTTAACACTGATGATGAAGATATTGAGGAAAATTTATGAGAACATTAGTGAAGTTGTTAGTGAGAACGATAGTGAGAACGTTTATTTTTACATTAGTGAGTTCGTTAGTGAAGTGAAGTGGTTGGCGGCTTTGTAAATATTTAAGGTTAAGTTAGTGTTGTCGTTTGTGTTGTAAAATATACGTTAACGGTTTTGTAAAGTGTCAAATTCACAAGTATTGGGTAAGGTGGAACGCAGTGCCACAGTACCCAAGACTTGTATACTAACTACTTTACATATATATATATCGATAACTAAATAATTACTTATTATACTTTCTTTATTTTTTTTTAATTTTAAAATAATATTAATATATCTTTCTACGTTTAATGATGAAAAGAGAAAGAGGTGTAAAAAGAGGAAAGAGAAAAGAAAGAGAGAGAAAAAAAAGAGAAAAAAAAAAGGACGGCGATAATTTTGTGTAATGCATGAAAAATAGTGTGACTTCATTTTTGACAGTTTACAAATGTAAAGTGTTGCATCCTTAAAAACTTGGAAATATATACATTCATGAATTATCTTGTATATTAATTGAAAATCCATAAAACCCTAACAATATTTTTTCTTAAAAAAAACTATAAAAATATAAATAAAATTAATCGTTAAATAAAAATATTTGATATTAGAATTTTATTGGAAAAATAAAAAACTTAATATTTTAAAGAAATACTTAAATACTTGAATGTTTTAACTTTTACATTATCATATAGACTCTCAAATTATTGATTGGAAACGGTTTGAGGGTTATCAATTTAAAAAAAATGTGAGTTTTTTAGATTTTTGGCAATGTTAAACGGTTAATTTTTTCTCAAAAAAATTATTTCGAATTTCCGAAATTTTTGACATTTTGGCTGAGAACTATGGTCTGCGAGGTACATAGATAGAATCAGTACCTCGCAGACTATAGTTCTCTATATGGCGCCGAAAATTTTTTGGTGAAATGTCGTCGCATTTCACCAAAAATTTTTCGGCGCCATAGGAAGAATTGGAGGGTGTGAGATACTATTACATGCTATAGTACTCACACCCTCCAACTTCCCATCAAAATCGCATAAAATTTGCTACTTATCTTCAGATTACCTCCCATTATAAAATATATCATTGCTATCTCATCGTACTATACTTCAACCCTATTGTATTTAAAAATATAAAATTTTTTGATAATATATTTTTATATCTTGAATTTTCAAACAATATATTCACAGATAATATAATGGGAAATCTATCTCAACCTAGCCTTAAAGTACCAAACTCCTGCTTGCATTCTCACTCACAAATATTAAACATCCATCTTCAAAAAACTAAATTCTTCACAATTTTTTTTAAAATTGAGAACATAAAAAACGTATGCATTCAATAATTTAAGATACTAACAAATATTACAAACTTCAAAATATCAGATATTAACGTTTTTCAATTAAAAAATATCATTTTGCTTTTCAATTCGAACATAAATCTTAAATATTTTTAATTAATATCTGATTTACAGCATTATTATCCATTTATAAATCTGACAAATAAATGACAAAACTATCAGAAATAGTGTCACTTTTTGTCAAAAGTGAAGTTACGCTATTTTTCATGCACAACAACGGCGATAATTTTGTATTGTTTTGTTATTCGGCCGAATGGCGTATTATTCTATTTTTAAACGGTCATGGCGTAAAACCGTCGCATCCCTAAATTCGTCATAAGCTTGGATGGATTGAAGAAACTCAATGCAAAGCATGCCAAATTCAGAGTCACTAGAAATTATCAATCCCAAACATCTGGTGTAAACATTATGGTGGATGTCCAAAACGTTCCCACTTTTTGAGAGGGACGTTTTGCAAAATTAAAAATTTTCGAAAATTTGGATTCTAATCAACTTAATTAAAGATACTTGTTTCCAAGACAGACCAATTAGGAAATTCTGAAACAGTTTATATCAGAAAAACTGATACAAAATATTCACCTTTTATTTGGCTTGTCAACTATCTAAAAAAGTTGGATCTTCTTGAAAAGCCAGTTAGAATTTTTCCTAACAATGTTACTACTTTTCGTGATAGGATCAAGCTATGGGACGCTGACGCTCCGCCTAAAAGTGAGTAATTTATCTAATAAAAAATTTATAAAAAATTTTAAAAAAGGGGTATCGTCACAGCTCAAAATTGAGTTGATTAGAATTTTTTCTTTCATGCATACAAGATTATATCATATATCTACATTGAGTCCTTAACAAAATTATATGGCAGGGTTTTCAAATCAAAAAACTAACTTTCGCTCTTTCAGGTCAAATCAGCAAGGCACTCCTATACAGGTGTTGGATATATTATTAAACTGAAATGAAACTTTCAAAATTTGTCTATAAAAATTATTTTGCAAAACTTCCCTCTCAAAAAGTGGGAACGTATTTCAATTTTTCAACATTATGGCACGTTTAACACAGAAAACAGCAAATGAAGATAATCCCTTTGCAAAGTCGAAAGCGCAAAAGCAAGATAACTACATGAATAACAAAGTCAACTTTCTGGAAGGAATGCCAATGGATCCAAAGGCATGGGAGGACATGTATCATATTTTACCTTTAAATGGCAAAAGTTTTGTGATTTGTGAATAAAAATTTTATTTTATATTTTATAAAAATCAAAAAAAGCAACCTGTGAAGAGATGAACGTTCTCCACTAAAACCATTTTTCATACATGGTCAACAGGATTTAAACAGGGCGAAATAACACTCAATAATCTTCCTATCTTATGCGATTGCATTGTTTCGATTGAAGTCATCTTTGTCATCTCCGCGCTTCATTATGATGACAGTTAAATGATACTTTTGAATGCCTCCGTATCCAGGGTCAGCTAAAATAGGATACTGATAGTTGTCAAATCCGTGTTTAACGGTTAAAAATTCGGATGCTTTGGGAGGAAGTAATTTGCAAAAATTGGAAAAGCAATATTTGTTATTCTTGTTACAACCTTTTAGCAGCAAGATTGCGAAATATGAAGTAATAGGAAAAGAGCTGAAAAAGGCAAATAAGTAAAATAATATGTTAGAGTTAGGAAAAAATTCAAATGTTGAGAACTCAATTTTTCATCCTCTTCTTGCTCTTCCATAATTTGACTCTAGAATATATGCTAAATATTCATGTTGTTCATATGGAAAATTACATAAAGATCTAAGCTGAAGGGGGATCTGCGAAATCGTCCGAAAAAATTTTAATGCAAAGCTTATGAATGTATATTGCGATAAAGTAAAATATCAACAAAAATTCGGACCAATTCGCTGTCAGATTTTAATTTTTTCGGACTTTTTGGCATCTTTCCTAAGCTGAAGCTTAGGTGCATTCTTATAAAAATAGTAATGGAGAATTTTAGCATTGGATTAGTGGGAGAGAGCTAATTTGTTTCCTCTTCAGTCATGATCCTTCCTCCGTATCCGAGTTCTCTGGGGTATATACTACCACAATATTTGCCAACCTAGAGTCTTTAATTTTGTTTAAAACAATCAAATCCAAAACGATCAAAATGGCTTTTAATTGATGATATCAATACAAAATATACATGTTTTGATGATTTGCGTGAATCGCTTTATAATTCTCCACCATCTTGTTACAATGATCTGTCGAAACAAGCTTGCAGATTCCGGGAACAGGACAAATTTGCCACACGGCACTTTTTTTAAAAAAATTTAATGGAGCGGAGCGATACTCTGCTGCAGGAGCCCCAAGGCTCCCAATCATTACGAAAGGGAGCCTCAGGGCTCCTGAGAATCCATCAGCAGAGGCCTTTTCATTTGGCCTCTGCTGATCAAAGATTCGGCGAAGCCATTCTTCGTCTCAGGAGCCCCAAGGCTCCCAATCATTACGAAAGGGAGCCTCAGGGCTCCTGAGAAACCTCTTTGAGAAGGTTTTCTTAAAGAAAACCTTCTCAAAGATGATTGTCAGCATTCACTCAAAATCTACCAAGAGTTTCAAAGTTTCAAATCTATCTGAAATGAAGCTTTGAATCTCTTGTATATCTAATTGTAGAGGTACCTTTTCAAAATGTCTTCTATTGATTAAATTTAATCAGTAAAAGTCATTTTGAAAAGGTACATCTCTATAATTGCTATTGAGCATTCACTCTTGGAACCTTGGAGCTCTTGTGTAGTGCATGAAAACTCCAAGATTCTAGCATAAAACATATATCATAGACATAATTTCTTCAAATATGATTTAAGGTTATTTTAAAAAAAATTAGAAAAGCGTAATTTAAGGTTATTGAAAAGTGACACCTGGCAAATTTGTCCCGCACTCGCAGATTCCCACTATCTCAGATAGGATTCTTGTTATATGTTCGATGTCTTGCAAATCCAATGAATGAAATGAAAAATATCTGTCAGAGAATAACATAAAATGCCCATTTTGTAAGGTTTTTATTAATCTTAAGAACATAGTACGTTCGTAAATATGGCAAAACGAACAAACTCCTATTCCAAATAACGGAAGAATATGCTATGCAATTACTGCTACACAAGTAAATATGCATATTGCTGAGGTAACATTCAGTATCATTCATTCTGAAAGCGCATCTATTCATGAAAATTATGTAGGTAAAGATGATCGGCAATTTGAAAGGGAGTCATTAGTTCTAATTGAAATGATGAGATTAAATAATTTGAATGGAAGTCAAATTCAAGTGTTTAAATTACTTAAATGGTTGGGACACGCGTAATATCAAATTAATGATTGTTTCGAATTTCTTACTGCCTTTTTCAAAGAAATAAATATAAATAATATAAATCAAAGAAATTGGGGTGTTATTATGTATGTGAAAACATATGAATATAATAGCATTATCAATGGTATAGAAGACGATGGATATAAATTATATGTTCAGTAGATATAGTGTGAAGAAGAAAAAAATCAAATTTTGGAAATTGTAATCATAGAAGCCAGTCACAAGATAAAATTGTTGCTGTCAGAAAAATAAAGCTTCATCCTTAAGAAGTTTCATTTAAAAACAAGATTTCTCTCTTCTTCAAGTCTTGCTGTCAGAAAAGTGAGTTTCATCCTTAAGAAGTTTCTTATTTCATAATTCTTTCTATTTCCTTAACGTATATTAGTTTTTCTTTATATCAAATCTTTTCCAAATTTCCCCTTCATATTTTATTGCCGCCTTGTCATATGCCAAATATAGCAAAGATTTTTAATTACAATAATCCAACTTTCTTAATCTGTTGTATTTCAACTTTTGATTTCTTATAAATGAAAGATTTTCAACTCATTTATTCCTTTATTAATGAAAGCTTATCATATGATTAAACTTTCTTCAAAACACGCAATAAACGCTTGATTGATTTAGAAAATTTTTTTCTTTAGCTCAGTCTCCGATCGCTTTAAGCCAGACAATGAGTTTTGAATGAAGAGATAAATTTTATTTCCGGAAAGTAGAAGTTTGTCGTAATCTTAAATGTTTTGCACGATTTTTACATTTTTATTTTTATACAATAGGTCTCTAATTTTTCTGATTTGTTATATACCGAATTTAGATTTTTTCGGTTTTGCCCTCAAAATTCCTCAGAAAATTTCGATGTCTAATGATTATATTTTTGTTTGTATGTATAATCTAAATGCTATAATTCTGAATGATATATACTGTTTTTATTTGGCCGAAAATTTGTAAAGCTTAGGGGAAAAACAGTGCCCTAACAGCATATATATATTGTAAAGAATATTCCTGCACCTCATCCAGCCTCCAGCGTTGAGATTTTTTTTCCAATCAGATATTTCAAGATCTTCACGCTAACTTAGTAAAAACACATTTTAATTGAGCACATACATTTTTTACATATAATACAGTATATCTTCTCGCATAATAACACATCTTTTCAAATCACAAACTGAGCAAAAAAAGAAAAAAGACTTCGGAAAGAAAAAATTTTTGGTGTCAGATTTTCCTTGAATTTCATTGTTTTCCTCGATTTTCCAATAACTATAATCAATCTACTCCATTTAGACCGATGCCATGGAAAACCTCTTTCTATACTTGGTCGAATGTTTTAATTTTGATAATTTTTTTTATTTTGATTTTATGAGTCTGCAAGGAAATCCAAAGCTATTCAACATTGTGAAAAACAACAGAGTTGATGAGCTTCAGAAGGAGTTGAATGGAAATGTTACAACTCTTCAAGATACTTCTTATGAATTAGAGTATGTACCTATTTATAAGCAAATTGGCGTAACAATACGCTATTTGCATTATTTTTCAATGCTAACACACAGCTGTGAAACATATTTTACTTCAAGTTTAAATAAAGGATTAACTTTGATGCATGTCGCAGCATTTTACGATGCATTGGACTGTGTCGAGTATTTCGACAAACAAGGTATTTCTCCCGAAATTAAATCAGCATTAGGATACGCTCCAGTACATTATGCAGCATTAGGAGGCGCCAAAGAAGTACTGATTTACCTTTGTACAGAGCATAACGTAGATATTAATTCAGCTCCAGCAAATGGTTATACTCCAATTTGCCTGGCTACTTGTAATGATTCTGATGAAATTTTAAGAATTCTCTTTGATTGTGGCGCCAAATATATACAACAGTCAGCTGGTAAAGTAGCAATAAATTCTCCATTACTTAAAGCCATTGAGCAACATAAAACACAACCATTTGTATTTTTGATGGAAAGATGCGTACCAATGTCTCTTAAAGATGAAAAGGATTACTCACCTCTTATGAAGTGCATTGCTCATAGACTTTACGATGGCGTTAACTTACTTCTTCAATCAGATAAAGTTAACGTTAATTACTTAGATGGTGAAGGCAGATCTGCACTCATGTTTGCTATTGGTAGCACACGGGCTGATCTAGTTCAGAAATTAATTGACAAAGGAGCAAATGTCAACCAAAGAGGCTTTTTAAAGCAATATCCAATACATTTCGCTGTTACATCTGGGAGCTACGAAATAGTTGAAATGCTTATAAACGCAGGAGCTAACGTTAATGTCACTGATAAATCGAATAAGCTTCCCATTAACTGTTTATCGCCAAAACCAGACGCTCTCAAAATACTCGACCTACTTATAAAGAATGGCAATGATATTAACCACTATTTCGATAAAGGCGCATTCATTGCAAATTTTATCACACAACCAGGCCAAGAAGAATTCTTTAAATACATTATCGATCATGGCTTTGATTTCTCTGGAATTGCTCCAAACCATAAAACTTATTATGAATTAATTATGACTGTCGGCAAACCACAATACAAAGAACTTGTAAAGACCCACTATAAACCAAAAAAGTAATATCAGTAAACCATGTTTGATAACTTTAATTTTTTTATTCCAAGATATCACAGCAGAATTCAACGAGTCGGAATTTTCAAGTGAAAATTTCGTAATATGATTATACATTAAGGTAACCAAACTATTTTTTGAAAGTCTGTCATTCCTTTAATGGTATTATTTCAACGTGTACAATGAATACAAAAACTCTAAGAGTACCACATAAAATAGTACTTTAGACTTAATTTAATGCGACCATGAAAAAGTTAAAAAGATGACTTTAGTGTTTTGATAATCAAAGATTAAAATCAATATTGTCTAAATTAATAACCATAACGACAGAAGTATTGATGCCGATTTGGAAGTTAATTTCAATTTCGGAAGTAAATTATTTAAGCTTGGGAAGATTTTCAGGAAGATATGATTTAAAATAAAAATTATGTTTATTCAAGCACAAGAGTAAATATAGCAGGATATAAATAAGTATGTAGCTGAATTGATACGCTTTATTATTGAAATTGATTTCGGATGTAAAATTCTATAAAATAGCAAATAAATAGGGATACGTCTGTAACATATTTTGGAATAGTATTGACGGTTAAAAAAATTTACCATCCTTTTACGAACCTAAGAGTCAATTGAGATAGATTGCTCAAAAAGTCAAAACCTCATTGAAAATTTTGAATCTATGATAAATTTGAGAGGTCGGCTATGATGATTGCTTGTTCTGCATTTTATTTTGCATTCCTATATTTCTCATTATATGTTAATGGATAATTAATCAAAAAAAGTGCTTCAACCATAAAGCAAGCAATATTGGACTTATATTTTAACTATAAACTTGTTGATTGAAATATGGGTTTCACACGTTGTGAAGTGTTCCAATTCGAAGATTTTTCTGATTATTATATTTGATTTTGATTAGACTATGTGTTTAATATAGGGCTGTACAAAATCGAGAAAAACATTGCCGTGCGGTAATATAGGGTCAAAAAAATCGCGCCTCGGCACTATTAAGTGCGCATTATATTTAATATGTCCTTCTTTTTTTTCTTTTTTTCTTCTTCTTCTTTTCCTTTCCTTCTTCCTCTCCTTCCTCTTCTTTCCTTCTCCTTCTCTTTTTACAACAACGTCGAAGATCTTCGAATTTGATTGTTGGAAAAGCATCTATTTCAGATAAAGGATGCCTTTCTCACAGTCAACATACGAGAGTCCTGGCTGAAACGTTCTCAAAAAGCCTGAGATGGTAATTCTCTGATCACTCATAGCTGGGCAGGTAGTCATTGCTGACAATACCTGTCTTTATGCATGCACGCTTTCATGTATATGGGTTTACACTATCAATTCGCAAAGTTGTTCCGAATTCTTCCAAAATGGAAGGACCCGAAACAACTTTGCTTGTTAACGATACAGACGCATTACTTTGCATTGATACTGTGCTGAGTTGTGTAGAAAGTTTGATTAGAGTTGTTTTGTTCTGGTATCTCTCATCTTCTGATGAGAGAAATCAAAGCAACACAACTCTAATGAGTTTGTTTTCACTCATTTGTATGTAGGTTTTTAGTTCGATTGGAGCTGCTTCATAATGAGATCTCTCATCAATTGATGAGGGAGATCATAACAAAGCAGCTCTAATGTATATGCTCGTATTAACCGGGTTGTAATGCGTTGTAACGTCAGCTTGTAGTTCGTTTGGGGCCACTTCACATTGAGATGAGAAGAAATGATTAAAGGACTCTGAAAGGCTTTGGCCGTTGATGTTGTAATCGCATTACTTGGAACTAGCTGGATGCTAAGCTGTGTAGAATGTTCGATTAGAGCTGTTTTGATATGATTTTTCTCATCATAAGATTGGAGGAATCATAGCAAAACAACTCTAATGAGTTTACCATCATCTACTTGTATGTAGATGTTTGGGAAATTGTTTTGTTAATTGATTTTCGAGATGACTTTCAAATGCTATAATCAAATGACAAACAAGTCTAAGATTTCTCGACAATACATCAAATCATGATGTTTGTAAGTGCGATGAGATTAGAGTTTTTGAAGGAATGACAAGAGAAGTAGGGAAGCTCGGCATTCGCCGAGCAAATTAAAAATTAACGTATGGATTAAATTTTAAGAGGAATTCAATTTTAATTACGGGTTGTTCAAATATTGATTAATATAAATTTATTAATAAGAACAAACAATTTTTGTTTTTGAATTTATTCAATTTATAGCTTTACATATAGTTTCAAAATTGTACAACTATGATTATTTCAACAAAAAATATCTTACTTTTTCACTTCACTTTCACCCTCACTTTTTCCGTAATTCAAATTTCAACATTATGTATTTTAATTCCTTATAGTATTTTTAACATAATTAATCAGATAATAATTGGAAGTTCTGAACTCACTTTTTCTGTAATTCAAAATCAAAAATATGAATAATATATCTATTTATTATATACTAATGCTATTTTCAACTAGAAGTGAGGTACGGTAATCTTACAGATTCCCGTAACTCAATTTTACTGAAAAAGTGCAGTAAACTACTCAATTTACGGGAAAAGTGTCGTAAACTATTGATGTGGCGGTAATTTACCGAGGTTTCCGCACACCGGTTCCTTTTTTAGGAATTTTTTAGATTAAAAAATATGCTTTGTAAATCATTTTTTGTAAATCGGCAAAAATTTGGAAATATTCTGATGATAATAAATCTGGGAATAGTATTTGAAATACGAGAACAACCTATTTAAAAGTGTTTCGCTCGATTTTGTATAATTTCAAATTTTCGCATATAGCTTTCGGAAACACTTTTAAATAGGTTGTTCTCGTATTTCAAATACTATTCCCAGATTTATTATCATCAGAATATTTCCAAATTTTTGCCGATTTACAAAAAATGATTTACAAAGCATATTTTTTAATCTAAAAAATTCCTAAAAAAGGAACCGGTGTGCGGAAACCTCGGTAAATTACCGCGGTTCCCGTTGGGACTGCCATAGTTTAATAAAAAGAAAGATACAGTATTTTGTGTTTTCAAAAATAAAATTGTTTGATACATTTGAAAATTACATGTTAATATTATATAGCAATTTTTAATGAATCTATGAAAAAATACTGAAAAAACAAAATTTCAATAAAATAAAAATTAAGTTCATATTATTTAGGATTTTATAGTCTATTAGATTTCTTTAAACAAAATATAGATAACTCTCTTCATAAATTAAATATTTGATATCAAAATGGGCAAAGGTATGAAATTTTCATCCCTCTTTATTCTTATATATGCTATCACATTCATTTAAGCATATTCATATATCCAAAAGTCTGTTATAGCATTATACATATCCAAAATATTGTACCTAGAGCAAATACTATATAAACTTAGAGTATGTGATTTTATATTTGCTTTATAATACTCAAGAGTAATTAATTATCGTTTGTAATGCATGTAATTGGTTTATAATGAAGAAAATTGTATAAATAATGTTATTTAATAAAAATAAACAGAACCAACAGTCTAAAAACAATAAGTTCTGCAAAGTAGTACAATTATTTAGGAATTTTGAAGAAAAATAAAAATTATTTGATTTTATAATATAAGTTAGGGGTTAAATATCTTAAGTGCTATATTAACCAATATGTATTAAATATAATAAACCACTTCAAAGGCAGGCAGCACCTTCATAAGGCAGAATTTCATTCAAAATTACATAATTGGTTCAATGTGTCATAACAAATAACCGTCGGGAAATTACCATTGAATTTTTTGTTCTACTCATTATCCTGATTTTAAATAACTTAATTTGCAAAACATGTGTCAGAATGGTTTCTATGAGTTCTCTCAAACTTAAATTTAGGTATTTTTCATTTTTAATATGAAATCACAGAGTGGGGGACAAACTCGCCCATTGTCACTTTTTCGTTAACCTTAAACTTGTAATTTTCATTATTTTTAATTAACCTTACTTCTTTCCCAATTCCTGATTTATTTTATTCACTTACTATTAAAAGTCACATTTTAATAAAATATAATAATTTATTTATAGCATTTTTTACTATACTGTAATAAAAAATTAATTATAATAAATTAAATGTTTATTAAATCAAATGTTTTCTTTGCAATAATATTTTTAATGTTGAGTAAACAATGTTGGGATCAAGTGTATCATTTTTCAGACCTTTCTGAACAGCTTCAAGCATACTGATGCATTCGACTTTTTTAAATTGTGTCATTTCTTCGAAATCTCTTGTGACTTTTTTGATAACTTTAACACTTCTCTCTGAATCCAGACCTTTAATTTGCAACTTAATCAGGAATGAAGGAACAACACTGGAATATAACTCGATGACAAGTTCATCGAGTCGAAGATTTGGTTGTACACCACTTGTATGTGCCGGATACCATTGTGTCAAATTTTTTCTGAAATTAACTTTAAAAGTACTAAGTAAGATCATGAGATATAGCAATATATGTTTAAACCAACTTATATTTTGGTTGTACACCACTTGTATGTGCCGGGTACCATTGTGTCAAATTTTTTCTGAAATTAACTTTAAAAGTACTAAGTAAGATCATGAGATATAGCAATATATGTTTAAACCAACTTATATTTTGGTTGTACACCACTTGTATGTGCCGGGTACCATTGTGTCAAATTTTTTCTGAAATTAACTTTAAAAGTACTAAGTAAGATCATGAGATATAGCAATATATGTTTAAACCAACTTATATTTTGGTTGTACACCACTTGTATGTGCCGGATACCATTGTGTCAAATTTTTTCTGAAATTAACTTTAAAAGTACTAAGTAAGATCATGAGATATAGCAATATATGTTTAAACCAACTTATATTTTGGTTGTACACCACTTGTATGTGCCGGATACCATTGTGTCAAATTTTTTCTGAAATTAACTTTAAAAGTACTAAGTAAGATCATTTATTTTTGCATAATATAATGCCAATATGGTTTCTTTTGATTTTATTTCATTTATAAGCAAATCAGATTTACCCAAAAACTCCACTCCATAAGCGTTCATTTGCTAAATTAAAAAGTGACAATGGGCTAGTCTGTCCCTTTCTCTGAAATCACAGATGAAATATATATTTTAAAATCATATTAACCTAACTTTGTATTCAATTGGAGGTTGAAACACTTCTAAAAAAACGATCTTTAGGTGGAAAAAAAACTATATCGAAGAGTTTATTACAAGATGAAGTCATTTATTATCTTGCCCGGCATCCAGAATATTACACCAGAGTTAAGTTCTGTAAATGCATTCTTTGCTGGACAGACATCTGGTTGGATGACAAAGAAACCTTGGGATGTTTTTGTGATCTTCTTTATTACTGAACCCCAAAGGTACAGAGAAAAGCTTGATTCCAATGTTGCAGCTCAACAAGTATTGTTATTTGTTGACAATCATATCAGCAGAGTTAGCTACTTTGGATGTCAAATTTTGAAATTGTTCAATATTGAGTTGATAACATTTCCTGTATATTGTACTGCGGTTTTGCAGCCTTTTGATGTCGGTTGTGCTGCATCACTGAAAGCAAATATTAATAAATTAAAATATAATCTACAATATTCTACTGAAACTTATAATATCAGTAATATTGCAAAAGTGAGGCTTAAAATTTCACGAATTCTGGTAGAAGCATGGGAAGAATTCAGAAGAATTGTCTTAATTAATTCATTTGAAAAAAGTGGTTTACATCCCTTTAACCCACAACGTGCAATAGATAATGATCTAACAAATAAATTGTCAAATTCAATACCAAATCCCACTAACAGATACAATACATCAAATAAAATTTTAACATCACAAAATGAAATTTTCCAAATCACTCGATACGAATTTGGTCAGCATATTCAAAACATTAATCAATTACCACCGATTACTATTGCAATGATAAATAACCGAGTTTCAGAAGGTATTTTTGCTCAAAAACTGATTATATAAGAGAAAATGGATGCTTATTTTGTTGCGTATAGTTGGAGACATATATGAAGCGAAAAATGGAGAATTCAACGAGGATACAGTATTTCCTCTCCATCCAAAGTTTTTGGAAAAGAAAAATGACACACAAGTCAAATGGGAGCATCACCAAATTATATGCAAGTTATTTTCCAGGAGAAATACAAAACTAGAGAAATTGAGTCATTTATATTTTTTAGAATTAATGACATATTTTATTGATACTGAAGATATATTCGATGATAAATATAGCTCGAATGATGTTAAATTATTAACAGAACTAGAATCAAAAATCAATAAGAACTTTGGGTTCACCTTTAAGGATCTCTATCATTTGAATGTGATTAAGAACTACCAAAGTATAAACAGTGGAGTGCTTGCCAATACATTATTTAGTACCACACAATTTGGAATTAAATACAGTATTCATGACATAATTCATGAACAAGTCGTGTTCCAAATCTATTTCTTTTCCACGAATATATTAATGAGAAAAATATTATTGAATTAAAACATTTTTTGATTTTTCAGTTAGTGAATAAAGGAGATGGTAGACAGTATTCATTTCCCACAGTATTTGAATTAAAAAAATCAAATGAAAATAAAAAGCTTTATCACTTGAAGCTAATAATATGCAGAAATGATAAAATCTGTACAGCATACTGAAGATCATCCTTGGATTTCAAATGGTATGTATTAAATAATCCAAACAATTATGGAAGAGTCAAGACATTTTCAGCAAAGGGCGCTAATATTGGATTATATGCTTGCGAATAAATTGTTTTGTATGCGTTTTTTTTGGATCTCCCCAAGTGAAGTGAAAATTCCCATACCACAAGTGGACCTTTTTTAGCTACTCTTAATAGGATATAGCAGGAGCTTTGGGAATATATGCACATATAAACACAAATATATAGTAAGTTATACATATAGTATGAGGGAAATTTAGGGTGGCTACAAGATTGGTAAAATAAACGGTCACCTCACTAAAATAAAAGGCCAAAAATGCATTAAATCAAATATAACTATAAATATAGATAAGATATAGAGGCCTTTATATTACCAATCGATGGAATAAAATCATTGTAAATAGATAATATGGAAATAGAATGAATTCGAAAACATCAAGATAATATCTCGAGATATAATAAACTAATTTCAGTTAAACAATCATTTAAATTATCGTTTCCACATCATTGACGATCTCCTCCCATCTCGGCCCTGAAAGACATACAAATACAGGCTCTGGCCTCAGCAAATGCCAGAGATTCGCTTTGAATATATTTTACCGAATCTGGGGAGATCCTCAAAATCACATACGATTCTCCCTGAGATACGGCAAAAAAAATGAAAAGTACATTTAGGGAAAGCCTAGAAGGGGGCCCTGACCTTGAGAAAGGACCCCCTTCCTGGTCTTTTCTTAAAAATTATTTTCCTAACTTATTCAATATTGTTTTTATCTCATTAAACACACATGTACTATATACCACATATATGTCCGAAACACATACGCATACAAAACACATTAAAACACAGTTTTACCATTTGATGCAATATCATTTCACAATCATAACTTCATATTGACTCAAACAAATAGTTTAAACTCTTGCTATAGAACAAACGCAAAGCATTCACGAATAATGCAGAGATTTTGAACTGATATCAGATAATAACTTTTTCAATGTCAGGACTGAATTCGAATAACGTTATTAATATAACATATTAGACTTGTACTGATCAATGGAATTATCACATATGATATATCATCAATATTGACAGACTTCCCAATTTTGGAATGCAAAAAATGGGAATGTCACTTTTTGAATGAAAAAATGGGAAATCCCCAGAATATTTAGTTCTAATTGTGATTGTATGACTTTCTCCATTTCTTTGAAAGAAATTTTTAATATCATAATCTTTATCTTTAATTTAAAAACGAATTATCTCCAGTATTTAATGTATTTTTCCGCTTGTTTCTGAATCCTGGGGTTCTGAAAATTCTAAATCTGGTCTCAGAATGGAAAGTTAAGTATGATAAAAGTTAATTTTTTGTATTTTATTGCCTCATTTTATTAATTTGCTATCAAAGTATAATTACCTTGGGCATTAAAAAATGCATTTATTATTGAACATATTGCTCGATAGGTTTTTTAATGATACCTTATGTGAAAAGGTAAAAAATGATTTGAAGAGCGAAAAAATCCAAAAAAATTTAAAAATTAAAAAACATATTTACAAAATGAAATAATTCACATGTTTTTCCAAATTTTGAAAAAATTTTGGAATTTAAAAACTCTTCACTAATGCATGAAACTGACGATTTCACATATTTGGTTATGGCATTCCAAACGGGAACCGCGGTTGGTTACCATGGATTTCCGTCACCGGTCACATTTTAAAGATTTTTAAAGCCTTATTAAAATATGCTTTGTAAATCATTTTTTGTAAATCGGCAAAAATTTGGTAATTTTCTTCAACTAATAAATCTGCGAATAGCATTTATAATACAAGAACAATCTTTTAAAATGCGTTTGATTCATTTTTGTATAATTTCATATAGGCACATATATTCTTCCGGGACTTTCCGTGATTTTACCGTAAAATCATTAGTTTACACCAATTTTTCCGTATTTTGAATAGTTTACTGCACTTTTTCCGTAAAATTGAGTTACGGGAATCCGCAAAATTTCCGGACCTCATTTTTCATAGAATATAATAATAATATTTGATAAAAAGATATATTATTTATATTTTTGATTTTTGAATTACGGAAAAAGTGAATTGTTAACTTGATTTTTTTATATGGTTAATTTTTCAAATGATATTATGAAGATCTAAAATATTAAAAGTAAAAAATTGAATTACGGAAAAAGTGAGGTCAAAAGTGAAATAAATTTGCAGAACAATTTTCATTGAAATAAGACATTGAGTATCACACTTTAGTGAATCAACATCTATAAGAATGAAGTGTTTTGAAGCTGAAATAATATTGAATAGAAATTAATTTTTTCTGAAATTTTGAATGAAATTATGGGAAATAAAAAAATTACTAAATATTGTATTCATACAAATATATTATTTTAAAGGAAAAATAGATGCTGATAGAAACGATGAAAAATTTTGAAAACTTTACAATTAATTTATGTTCGTTAACCACAGAGCTTGCAATCCAAAGCTCACGTTAGACTACAAGAGTCATGAAGTCTCATACTAAGGGATATCCAACATATATTTTAATAATCTAATGTTTGTGACAAATATTCAACATAAAATTAAGTTTTCGTTTCGTTACAAGGCATTCATACTTTGGAGATATCATATTTAATGTACAGAAAAGTTAATATTAAACAATACATGCTAAAGAATTAATAAATAAGATAATAAAATAAATTTATACGTAATTACTTTCATTTAATATGCTTTATGCTGTATAATATTGATTAAGAGGCATTAAAAGGTTCCATAGTCTGCTTTTATAGGCAAGATTTTTGATAAAAATTTAAAATTTTGAAAAATGATGAGAAAAGAAAAAAAAGGTAAATGAGAGCAAGAGGAGGGAAAAAAAAGAAAAAGAAAAGAAAGGGAAGGGAAAAATAAAAGAAAGAAGGACATATAAAAATTTAGATGCGCATTCTTAATGCCGAGGCGGCTTGCCGCCGAGGCGCGATTTTTTTAGGCCTCTACGGTAACCCGGCAATGTTTTTTTAAATCTTGTACAGCCCTATATTTGGTGAATTACAACAACCAAATGACACTTCATATTAATAATTTTTTATCATATTCAGTGAATGTCACACAAAATCGAAAATTTATCAAGGCTGCATTTCAGCAAAACAAAAACCTTTAGAAAATCCATATTGACTTACAATATACCCAACTTTATGAAATTTTTTCAATCAATACAGCATTAATTTTCTTAAAAATATCATCTCTGAAGCTCCTTCATCAAAGTTAATGCTATTCCATTACTAAAACTTTATAAAACTAGTTCAAATTTTAATTTATCAAATTTACATAATTTATACGAATTTTACGCAAGCTCAACTGAAGGCAAGCAAGGAGGAAACATCTTAAAAAGGAAAAAACCTATTCATTATAGAAATTGTATCAAATTATCATCGCGGAAACTTTTTTCATTTCGAGTTTACAATCATATCTTATGTTAATTTAAAGACAAATATCATCATTTAAGTGATTTTGGTAAATTTGAAGGGAAAACGATTATTTAATGGATTCATGAGTAATGCAAACAGTGATCAAAATAAGGGTCCTCCCATTAGAATAGTTAAGCATGAAGTCATGTACAAATATTATGTTGCTCAACAAGGTGAAGCTGATATTAAATTTGTTTGGTTTTCCCAAAATTCCAATAAATTAACATAAGAAATAATTAGTGATTATTGGACAAGAGTTCGTGAGGATGAATCCAAAGGAATGCACTGCACAGGCATTGTAAGACAAACAGATCAAAAAAAAGAATTTTTATTAGAATTTAAAACAGAAAATACTGTTAAATATGTCAAAAATACAGAACTAAGCAATGAGCAGAGGGTAGCTTATTGTCGGTTTTTAGAAATTTTTTTAAAAATTAAAGAAAGTTAACTTTTATTTTCAAAATAATATCTAAATTGATAGTAAATACTTTCTCCAGATGAATCTAATATATGATCTTCAAGGAACACTTCAATCTTTACATCAATTTGTAATAATTTAACTTTGTTCATATGAAAAACATTCACTAAAAAAAGCAGATAATCAATTATATTTTCTGATTCAATTGCACAGCTAAATAAAAATTTGTGAATATTTATCATAAAGTCTTCATTAATCGAGCTGTTTAGCAATGGTAGGATATAGTATAAAATATCTATTATATATTTTTTGACCGAGTTGCTTAGATTGTCCCATGGATCAAGTGATATAATTAATTCAAATAATTCCTTTAAGCATTTGGTTTCGGCAGGGAAGATTAAACATATTGTTTTGAGATATTTTAAAATTATTTCATACTCTTCTTCTTTGTCATAATTTTTAAAAGAATTAATCGAAAATGTATATAATTCTTCAAAAGGTAAATCATCATTTATATAAGCTGGATATTCGTTGATGAGACAAGCTAAAAATTTGCACATTTCCAAATGAAATGTTATATTATTAAAAATTATGTAAAAATTCCGGCCGGAAATAATTGTATTATCAAATAACTCAGTATCTAGTGCATAACTTTTGATAATCAATGTTAAGATTTGCAAAATTTGCTTTCCATAAAATATATGTTGTTCTTTGGGAGCTGACAGGATATCAAGTATATTAACACTCAAAAAGTCAAAAAAATATTCCTGAAATGAATCATGTTAATCTAATTTTATTATTTTTTAAAAAAAATTAAAAAGATTGGAACTCAAAAATGGAAAACAGTAATTGATAAAATCATTAACCAATGGCTTTAAATATTCAGAATTGGATATATCTAGATTTGAAATTGCAAAGTGATTATAAAATCGCTTTGAATACCGTTATCAATGATAAAATTATACAACCAGGTACCATCAATGTTGCTTAACCCAGTGATTTTTTTAGTAAATTAAGCGACAAGTTTGGATTCATGTTTTTTTCCTCATAAAAATTAAAAAAAGAATCGTTTATAATAAATGGTCATGATTCACATAAATTAATTTAATAATTTATTTAATTTTCAAATGTAATATTCAAATTGAATGCAAATATAAAACCGTTCAAAATCGCAATAAGATAGGAGCTCAGAAACTTGATAGTAAGAGTCAAACCTGATAGTGGAAGACCTATTGTATACAATTCAATTTTTTTGTTGTGTTTTCTTTCGTTTTTTTAATCAATTTGTAATGCTTAAAACAATTTGATGGGATTGGTATTTCAATAGACTTTGAACAATTTTGTGTATCATGCTCAGAAAAAGTTCATAATGGATTTTTAAATACGAGATTCTCTACAATTTTGATATTTATATTTTCAATAATTGGGAATTTCTCGCATATGTTTGTACATGAGCAAATACTATACATTTTGTGAATAAAAAGTTTTTTTATAAAAAAAAATTTAGGAATTAGCATATCGGCCTTTTGCGACATTGCCAAACGCCAGATTTTAACTCGATATATGAGCATAAGATCATATATTGGAATAAACTCGACTTATTCCATATTAAAGTTATTATAATAAGGCACTTATTGTGCAAATCTAATATAATTAGAAAATACACAATAAGTGCCTTTTGATGGAATATGTAAAACCGCATATGGATTACAGAAATCTGAGCAACAATTAGGAATGAACTAGTGCAAATTTTAGAAATATTATGTTAAATTCAGGATAAAATTGTTAGAAATTTATATTTACAAAAGAGTAAATAAGTATTTTATAAAGTTTTCGTTTGACTTTCAAGCTGGCCGGAGAAAAAAATAAAAAAATATTTATTTAAGCAATTTACACTAAAACTTTTTATGGAAATTACAGTTCTATCAATGTCTTCGAATTTCATTGTCATTTGAAGTGTGAAATGCATTGATTTGCTAGTAAGTGTAAATTGAGAATACAAAATTAAAATAAATGAACGAAAAATCTTCTAAGAACATTCTAAAATCAATCATTCTTTGAGTGGGTTTCATAAAATATCTAGATAATAAGCCAGAAATTGAGCTAGCTCATGGTTCCCATTAGAAAATATTGTAAACTATTCAAAAATAGTTTACAAAATTAATTATTTGGAATTTTACTACAAAATGGTTTATTTATTTAGTTATAAAACGATTTAAATGATAAAATAATAAAATTTTTAATTGAGATAAATTAAAAAAAATCTTAAAAGGATGTTATGAATTTTCTACGGATGTCACAAATCTTGAATTTCAGGTGTGGTCAGACACTCGTGTCTAGACACTTTTTTGTACGTTAATATTGTACGTTAATTTAATTAGCTCGGCGTTTGCCGAGCTTGCATGCCACCAAGAACATAGCTTTAACTCGCTCACTGTTCTTGGAGGGGCAAACATTATGTTTTCTAATGAAGTTCTCTGATTGGCTCCAATTCATCTTCAGCAATCAGAGAGCTTCATTAGAAAACAAATTCATTATTTTCCCTTACCCTCGGATGGTCAGGGAATGCATTTTAACTACCTTAGAGCAAGGTTCTTCCAAACCTTCTTTAATTTATTTGATCCATTGGAAGAATCTTGCTCTATTCGTCTTAAATACAGAATCCTTGACCATCCATAGGTTAGGGAGAGTAGCAATATTAGCTTCTCATGTAGTACTTTGACTAAAATGTTAAGATCTTTTCATATCCCAGTACTTCATGAGAAGCTAATACTGTTTAACTACGCTGGCCTACTGATGGCTATAAGAACTTCATATTAATGTAAAGTTCTTTTGAGTTTCATCATCATAAGATGTAGCTCAAAGGAACTTTGCATTAATTGAAGATAACAAACATTACCAGACTAATAGATACATTACTTATGGGCAGAGCTCGTTCGAAGTCACACAAATATTGGGAGACTTCAAATGATCTCTGCTCATAATATTATAAATATACGTATCTAATTCTTTGATGCAAATATAAGTATTCAACTCACACTAATTGGGGGATTCTACTGATGCTTCATTATTGATTAGAAACATCAAGTAGAAAACACCATAAATTCATATACGCTGCCTCTACAATGACAAGAGAGCACAAATATGCATCTTTATAACAATATAGATGCGAAGTTTCTCATTTAATGAGAAACTTCGAATATATATTGCTGTAAATATGGATTTGAACTAATCTATAACTTCGTAGGAATTATAATATTGCTTATTCCTTGAAGAATGGTAACTTATTGCGGTGGGAGATCCTTGCAAATCAAATTCAATCGAGAAGGGTAATGCTTAAGCGTTCTAATTTAGAATGCTTAAGTATTGGCCTTCTCGATTGTAGAATTTTCTTAATAAACCAAGTAGAAATGTTTTCATGATGCAAAACAATTTATCAGCATATGTTAATATATGTTTATTTGAATAGGATAGACAGCGCATCATTATTTACTTGATATAAACATATAATATCATATGCTATATAGCATTGTATCATGCAAATCTTTCTTTCGCAGTTTCTATGTTTAAATTTTTTAAAGGGTAAAATCATATAGAATTGGGTAAATTTCAATGGTGTCTGCCCTATCGTCTATTTTGTGGGTGTCTTTTGAAACCGCAAGACTCTTTCAATTTTTGAATAGTGTCTTACGGTTTGTTCAGACACCATTGAAAAAAATAATTATCTTTTATTTTAAGTATATAGATTGTTTATGTATTATACTAGATGTTTGCCGTTTTACTTTTCGATTTTAAATAGAATTTTTGTGCGAAAAATTAACAAAATAAATTCAAAATCGAAAAATTCAAACTCAAGACACTATGATGACACAATGCTATTCCTTAAAGACACCTATCGTCACGAAAATGACAAGCATAGAATTTTCTTAATTGAATCATTCGATAAATGAGCATCTTTGCGAGCCATTTGTGTTCGAGAGTCTTGTACCATAAAGGTGGCATCTCAGCAATTGAGCATCCCTTCAATGCATTGATATCAATTAATGGAACAGAGTATGCGACTTCATCATTGATCATGAGCCCATATGCACTTTTTTGCAAAAAGACCACATAATGGAAATTGCAATAGGCAACAATTGCAATCAATTGATATCTTTGCCTTTCGACTGTTGGGAGTGTCAACTTTTTTGGGAAGTCAAAGATGACTTGATGAATTGAATCATTCTGCCACTCTCTCTGGATGTCGAAAGTCAAGAACTGTGAATTGAGTAGCAATTTGTTTCTTCGTTGGCGCTATCACTATAAGTGATCCGGAAGAGATGACCGATTCCTGGTATTTGTTCTGCGAGATTTGTGATCAAGCTTGTCATTGTATCATCACAATCTTGTGCCTCATATGTTGAGTTACCAAGTAATGTGGCAAGTTCATGTGGAACGAAGACCAATTCTTTGGATTTCAATGAATTTAGATTGGTAAAGATACTTGACATCTCGGTAACGATGGGAGAAGATTGATTGGCAAACTTCAAAACTTCTGTTCTGACCTCTGAAATGTAGAACAATACTTGTAAGCATACGTTCAAATGGCACGTGTTTCCCATGTTGTGAAGGCCAACAATACCACCTTTAATTGGATAAAGGTAGTTCGCCTCTTGTGATTACTGTATGATATCAACAGCTTGATGAGCTACAGCAATGATGTTCCTCTTTGATGGCTTCATGGATGGTGCAACAACAGCAGCGACGGTATCACTTGAAGGAAGAACCTTTGTTGGTGTAAAGTCTTCAAAAAGGAGTAACTTTTCATTATCATGCAGTGGTGAACCATCAATATTATAATTTGTCAAACCAACTAGGCCTGATATAATGAGAGGGAGTGATGTGCGCTCGCCTCGAAAACCATTCTTCACACAGGACCAGCATGACTTGAAACGTGGAAAGAAACGCTCGACAACCTGTCTGTCTTGAGCAATTGCATTGTTGCGATCAACATCTGCTTCTTCGTGGCTTCTCTTCATTAGCACAGCAGTAAGATGATATTTCTGGATCCCAATATAGCCGCGGTCGGCAAGTACAGGATATTGATAATCATCAAATCCTCTCTTGACAGTCAAGAATTCTAATACTTTTGAAAGATCGAAAATCTTTTTGTCATGGACAGCAGCCATAAAATCAACGTTTTGATGAATGGCTTTTCTATCTGGAGACACGAGGACTTGGAGCTTAATACCGTTGCAATGGTTTTTTTCGTCCCAACTATAAAGCCTCTCTTCCTTTACGGATGGAATATTGAACGGAATTGTAGTACTGTCTACAGCGGCAACAGCATCAGGGAAGTTCGTAAATTTGTTCTTAAAAGAAGTTAACGGTGGACAGTGATTGGGAAGGAAATTTCATTCAATATACGTATGTAAACAGAAAATGAGATTATGTATGAAAATAATATCGAATATATCTGTATAGTATCAGTTAATGTGTTTATTATGAATCAATCTTAACTCTCGCTAATTAATATTTATAAACTTGTTTGATTTGGAATAAATACTAAATCATGATGTAAATTTCGAATGAACACTATCATTTTTGAGCATGATATAAATACATTATTTTCTGTAAGTATCATGAAATAGTATTCCGTTTTTAAGGTAAGGATATATTTTGAAACTTCTTGAAATCGACGAAACTTAAAGAGGTGAAAGAACTTGGAATGTCAATTATTTCGGAATTATTGCTTTATAATGAATTACTCTCTATATGGGCATGGTGGAAAAATAGCCGTTTATTTTAGTGAGGTGACCGTTTATTTTACCAATCTTGTAGCCACCCGGGAAATTTATTTTTTTATAAGATATTTTAAATTTTGAAAATAAAATAAATTTAATTGATATCACAGATACTACATCACTCGACTGTGGGTCACATGGGAGTCGGCATGGGTTGTTTTCTTGTGTTTCCAACCCTGGAAGTACATATGCACATCAGTTTTTCGATACAACCATTTCAACCAATTGGAATAATGAAGAATATCACACTTGATACCTTAGTTTGGAGATAGAGCATTCACATATGGCTGCCATTTTTGGAGATGGTTTACCAGTCCAGGTTAAAGGGTTATGCCACTGGCGGCATGGAGGAGCCTTGTATCCCGGTTTACAAACTGTATACATATGGTGCTTAAATCATGTACTGAATAATATAATAGTGCATACTCGCAAAGCATGCCCACTATTTGATCAATTCATCAAAAGAGTTCACCAATTAATTATATTATTCAAAAACTACGAAGTGCGCTATGAAACGAAGATTAAAGTACCTTTCATACCAGAAACTCGATGGATATACATTTTTGACACACTCTATTTCATCTTTCATAACTTGGAAACAATTTCAGATCGGCGAAAAGCTAATTGTATGGAACGTTACTAGTTCATAAGGAAGGATTAACTTAGGTAAATCCTGATTACCTATGCCAAAGTGATATTGTCACCCAAGCCAAAGTCTATGAAAAAAATAATTTTAATAGCAAAATTAAGAATAAATATACATATGCATTGGAGAAAATTTAGAATATTGTGAAATTCTCTAATATATATACAAAAAAAGTGAATTGAACAACATTCATCTTAATCAATCATTTTTCCGTATTTTCAAAAAAATGTCCTTCATTAATAATATATATATAGAAGGAATAGAAAACGATACAAAATTGTGAGAATTCAAATCATTCAAAAGAAAACAATAGTTTCATAATTTTTTTACAAAATTGATTTAAAAAAATGCATCTTAGGTTATTATGGAAGTGGTAAATATGACACTTTCCAATGTAAATATATTTAATGGCAGTTTTTAACAGGTTATTCGATAAGAAGAAGACAAAGAAATAATAATAGAATAAAGGAAAGGGAGAGAAAAAAGAAGAAGAGAAAAAGAAAAGAAAAAAAATAAAAATAAAAAAGGACATATTATATAAGATTCGTTGAAATTTAGTGCCGAGGCGGCGGAACCGCCGAAACACAATTTTTTTGAACCTTTACGGTAGTAAAGCCATAGCACTGAAAATCTAAACATTTTTAATTTGATAATTTAGACAATATTTAAGAAATTTTGGTTTTCTTGCATCAAGATAAGAAAATATACATAATAACTTAATGACTTTCTGATGTACATATAATAAACTTAGGAGTGCAGAAAAGTGTGGCTTTCTGGGAGACATGCAGAGACAATGTCTCCCAGAATGACATTACCGGCAGAAAACAGTGCACTGCTGAACTTTGTCTGTCGAAGTTCTGCAATCAGAATTTGAGTGCGGAAGATTGTCTCAGGTATTAATTTGTTTCTTTGGCTATTAGTTCCGATTATCATTATCATGAATGCTCTAACACGTTCTTTATGTGATTTGTGAAATACGTGTTTGTATGAAGTTTCAAACGTAAAATATAAAAGTGAAATTGAATTTATTTCTAGCATTATCATGGATTTATAAACAATATTACATCCATGTTTGTAAACAATCATGTCAAGCAACTTATTGAGAATTTGTTGATCGCCATGACAATTTTTATGCGCTTTAACAACCGAAGCTGTAACCCCTTCCATAATTATGGTTGAGTTGGATTTTTGCTTTGCAATGAGAACAAAACAAAAAGTGCGTTTTTATCTATATTTCAGGGAAATTTTTTCTTCATAGAACTTTTTCACTATTTTATAAGCAGCGCATTTAAAATCTGGAAATAATACCCCATAAAATTGATGAAAATCCAATGATTTAGTTCCATTTGATTGTGCAATATTTACTTCAATTCACGATTGGAAGTGGAATGTGTAATGATATCATTTACTATATCTTTTGCATAACCATCTTTATCAGGTTTTTCTAGTTTTATTTCAATTTCGAAGTGAATTTCTTTTTGATTCATCAATTTTTAATGTTAAAATTGAGATGTTCAGTACTTAGGAGACTCTGTTTCTCTCAGGAAAGGGCAAAGCATATGCTTGTCGTCATAGTGACGAAAGTGTGTGCAGAGGGGAAGCCAATGTGGGGGCGGCGACAAATTTGCCCAGCCAGTAAAGTATTCAATTTTTTTTGCATTTTTTTTAAAGCTTTTTAACTTAAATCATGGAATGTCTCAAAGACAAAAGTAGCATACAGCATGTAAAGCTAAAGAAAGATAATCATAATTAATACCTTAATTTTTAATATTACGCATTTTTAGGTGCAAAATTTAAAAACATTCTAATACAATAGAGCAGTTTCCAAAAGTAGCATACAGCATGCAAAGCTAAAGAAAGATAATCATAATTAATACCTTTAAAGTTTAAAATCTTGATTTTTTTTAAAATCAAATATTTATAACTTTAATACATACAGCTTAAACCTTATACTTGTTTTCTCTTGTGAGAAAGCAATCTTACAAAGCTAACAATCCTAAAAAATAAAGAATTAAAATTTAATAATTTAATCTAACAAAATTTCTCTCTTTATCCTTTTGCACTCTTTATATGCAACTCAAATCCATCATATAATATTCCTATAATACTCTTGCCTCAAACAATGACGAACAAACTGCTATTCTCATTTAATTACAGACCAAATCTATTCAAATTTCTGAATTTTTAATTTTCATTTCAATTTCAAATGGAATTAGAAGAAGAAACTATCTTTACTGTTATGGATCTTTGTAAATTTGGAGTTAAACAAGAAATACAAGCACAGTATGGATATGGTGAACGTGTCAGGAAAGAAAGATCTCAGATTTCATTCCACTGCAAATATCCAAAATGTCCTGCACATTTTAATGTTGCAATCTTGGATCAAAATAAATACAAACTAATCAAAATAGTTGAAGAACATGATCATTCCGCCCCAAATGACAAAAGTCAATATTCGTCTGTCTTTTATCGCAAATATTTAGAACATTACTTCCAAACAGATGACAATCAAAGAGCGATAGCACAGCTAAATGCATTCAAAGATCTTGAAATTCCTCTTACAGGTCCGTCCATTCCAGAGATGTACGCTCAAAAACCACGTGCAATCAAACGATTTGCAGAGAGAATACATGCTCTTCAAACTAGATATTCTCCTGACGATGTTGTGTCATTGCAAATCTTTGTTCAGACAGTACAAGAAGAATCTCCAGATGATCTCATTGCATTTGAAGTCTCAGACAATAATATGTGTTTCTATAGGGTGTCCAAAGGTGTGTTTAGCACAAACCTGAATACTGCGAATAGAAATAAACAAGTTACATATATATAAAGTTTATTTAAATATAATCACCATTGGATTCAATCACGCGTTCGCAGCGATCGATCCAGGCTTGAAAGACACGCTTTAAATCATCATGAGAAAATTGCTCAAATTGCTCTCTTACAAAATTTTCAAGATCATCTGGACTCGCGAATTCGCGTCCTTCAGCTCTCTTTTTTAGCGTGCCGAATAAATAAAAGTCAGAGGGTGCAATATCAGGTGAATAAATTGGGTTTGGAACAACTTTGACATTGTTTTCCACCAAGTAATTCATTACCTTATGACTTTTGTGAACTCTTGAATTATCAAAATGAATTGCAAACTTTTGTTTTTGTTGTTTGGATTTCTCAAACTCATCAGAATTGATAATTTGAGTAAGAACATTGTCAATTAGATACTGAGCATTCATCGTATTAGGTTTTTGAAGAATATCAATTGCGATGATGCCATTCACGCCCCAAAAAACCGACAACATAATCATTGGTGTGTTAATTTTTTTCTTCGGGAATGTTTGCGGATTTTCATCCTTCGGGATCCACATGATTTTGGCTTCTGTTGCATATTGAAACCAAGACTCGTCCCCTGTTACTAAAAAGCGAAACTTCTTGGATTGATACGCACCCAATATAGAGAGGAGCTCTTTCGAAGATTGGACTCTAGATTTTTTTTGAACTGAATTAAGGTTGTGCGGAACCCAACGTGTATACGCTAGTTTGTAGTTCAAATAATTGTGCAGATAATAACTGACTGTTGTACGTGGTATCTTTGTCATCTCCTCTATCCTTCTGAGTGATGCTCTTGGGTCTTCATCTAGCGTTTGAAGAATTGCTTTGATTTTTCTTTGATCCGGCGATTTTTTGTCAATTTTTATGATGGGCGCCTTTTTGTTCATGAAGTGATACATCCTAACATGATACG